ATTTGTTTAGGCGTTGTTCAACTTAATCCACTGTGTGAACAAATATTATAGAATTCATTAATCAACAATTACTTCATTTCTCTAATAAAGGTCTAAGTCCTAAATGCTAATTACAATGACAAACCGATCATGTCATATTTGAAGTATAACTTTAATTACATTGCTTTAAATATTATACATATTTTTAATGCTATTATAAATATATAATTTATAATTTATCTTATATAAATGTGTATATGGTTGACACTAATAAATGTGTGCATCACGAGTGTTACCATATTACTAATAAACATTATTCAAAATTGTTATATGATGTGTATTTATATTTTACGTAAATGCTATCTTGTACAGTAGCAAATAAGTTTTACTTCAATCTCTCAAGCGCACTCTTTTTTTTAATTAGATTCAAAAAAAATTTCATATAATCTCTATAAAAGCTTATGCATGCAGGTAGGGTAAAAAGAATCATCTGAACTATTTGCTCAAAGTCAAATTGAATTTTAATTTTAATTTTAAAAATGGATCATTTTTTACTTTTTTTTTGTAATATTAAATTTATTTAGTATTTCCAAATTCATAATTAGTAGTAAACAACATGACATGTTTTCAAGATTTTCTAAAAATATCAATGACCATATCTTTGGATTCTAAGAAATTAGATCAGCGGAAACTATCAAGTTTACAAAGGACTACATTGTAGAAAAAATTCCGAAAAACACGATGAGACTAAACAAATGTTTGTTTTAGTCCTTGATTTATAAATTATTGTTTTACTTTTTAGATTTGCGAGCAAAATTTATTTTTTAAATTTTATATGACCGCAAAAAATAGAAATTTTTGGAACATTGTATCAAGAAATCTTAAAAGTTTTAATGTAGGTATTTGAAGTTTCATTTATAAGTTTTGTGATTGCAAATGCAAATTTTGTTTGAAATGTATTGCACTTAGAAGTCAATTTCAACAATTTCTAACAACTTAAAGAAAATACAATTTACTTTACTAAGATGTGCCTTCTTTATTAACTCCCACGTGAAATGAAAGTAACTAATTATTCCATTCTACAATTTCTAAATTAAACGCCCAGATGTAAATGATCGTTTAAGTACCTTGTTAGTACTTTATTTCAATCCTATCATTATCCTGAATATCATAAGGATCACTTATATCAAGTCCTGTCTGTGAACTTTATTAAGGCCAACAAACTCTGGAGGAGCTTTCGGGAGCTTATTATGATTTGGTCGAGTATCAGGATTTAAACGATTATGATATTTTAAAATAATTATTTATAGATGATTTTTAGGTAATTAGCTGATGTTTATGTAATAAATGGTGAAAATAGAATTTAGGTATTTTTGGGCAATGCTAATCGGGATATTTTTAGAAGCACTTACAAGCACAAAAATATACTTTACCGAAGAAGAAGTTTATTCGCGCGAAAAAATCTAATTTCCTAATTTTATATTTTTCTATGTTTGAAGACACTGTGAGTCGAATGAGATCAAATATGGGAAAAATATGTGTGTATGAGCTATTTTTGACCATTTGTCGACTTTTTTAAACTATTCAAATCGGCTGATCGGTTATCCATCCATTTTTTCTAAGTTATGCTAGAATGTTCAAAACCTTTGCAACGTAAAGATACAAAAAATTTCATTCACGATTTTCTTGCGATTACTGTAACTTACCCTACGGAAAGTTAAAAATTGAAATTTAAAACAAAAATCTTACAAGCATTTATCTATAATCCTATAGCCATAATTTGCAATTCCGAATCCACAGCTTAGAAAAATGCTTTTCTTAGCCTTTTCCTCTGAAATCTCAAAATTTCTCTTGTGCAAATACGTATTGTTATCTCTAACATTCCAAAGAGAGGTCCTTGATATAAAGAAATGTGATATAAATCACATTTCGTATCTTCTTTTGTCAAGGTGTACATATTTATACAATATAGGGATTATAAGAGAGAAAACCGAAGATATACAAAAGGAAACAATTGTTCAACAAATTGGATTAAATCAATGAATATAAAGATTTCAGTAAATTAAGTTTGCGTTTCAAATCGGGATATACAGGTTTATAGTTTCTATAGATCTATTCAATGTAATATTTTTTTTAAATTTAAAGTTATGCAAATCTAGTGCATTTAACACGTTCGCAATTTTGCACTATTGTCAGTAGATATATTTGAATCATAAATAAATTTATTTCTGAGTTTTGTTATTGCAATAAAATTTCACCTTGTCGCGTTTTCATCAAAAACTATTTAACCGGTTCACACATTACAAATTTTCATCTCAAAATACCATTTATTACCTTACCGTAGGGTAAGTATAGTATAAGCAAAAATCTCAAATAAAAGTTTTTGCATATCTTTACGTTTCAGAAGTTTCTGAACAATTTGGCAGAAAAATGAATGTAATGGGTATATGTATATTTGGATATAAATTTGGTCCACGATTTTGGGCGCACGGATCAACCGATTTGAATAATTTAAGAAACATTTTATTTATATTAATGAATAAAAAATGGTATCAATTTGGGAAGGCAGGTGTGTATTTTTGGAGATCTTATAAAAAAGTAAAAAAATCGCCATTTGGCGGTCAAAAATGATCATTAGAAATATGCAGATTAGTTTATCAGATATTTTATACTGTTTTCAATAATAACAAATTTAGTTCATATTTTATGGGTTCTGTACAAATGTTCATCCGTTAGAGTGGCACGCAGCGCTTACGCGCTTCGATATTTCGTCTCTACGTTTTCTCTAACCCAGTGCATATTTTTTAAAAAATCTTTTATTTGTAATTTCAAAATTGGTTAGATAAAATTGATTTATTTTAAAAAAAAAATAGTTATTCGGTACGGTAAATTCCAGAAATTTGCCTTAAGACACGACGCCATTCAGCAGTAGTTTATTAAATAATTATTTATTATTATGTAAAATATATTAGTCAAAATTTTAAATTAAACAATATTGCTGGTTCCGTAAATTGGAATTCCGTAGCCCTAACATGAAAGAATTTTATTTTGGGTGGCAATTAGGCGTACAACAGTCAAAACGCAATCATTTGTAAATTCATTATGAAAAACAGTTTTAATTATATGGTTAACCTTGATGAAAGGAAGCTTTACACTAATTAAACCAAATATAATATCTATATATATATATATATATATATATATACAAACAATTATGGTACACAAATCTGCAAAATCTATGAAAGCTTGTTCTTCACAAATTAAATGTATAATAAGATAGGTTACAAAGGTCCAATTAGACTTTTGACAATTTTATTGTGTGAAAATCAAACCAATTCTATTACAACAAATAACACATATCAAACAAAACAACTATCTGACTATGTTTAGTAAAACTCCCAGCTAATTCATCATTCTACAAATGGTTTCTGCTGTTTTCAAAAATTTGTCCCTGGTCCCTTTTTGCCCTATAGGCGGGAGTAAAATAGCAAATAAGTCTATAGTCTTATTTTTATTTTTAAAGGGATTTTACAAAATACTAGCCATATTATCCAACCAATGCAAAATATAAATTTCATGGGTAGTTTTTTTACAGAGATAACACTGCATATAATCTTGATCTGTTATTTTGTCAGAAATGTTTATCAGCAGAGTTGGAATAACTATTTATTTAATTCATGTATGTAAATTGCATTTATTAACTTAATTACTTTTTTATTGCTATTTTTTTGTTTTTTTCACCTTTGCGACGGTGAAGCTTGATTTGGTCCTTTTTACCCCACCCACGTGTGTGCAAGTTTTATAGAACTTATATAAAAAAACTGATGAATCAAACTTCAAATTAACAACACATCTTGTAAATTAATTGAATAACGTATACTTCAAAATTATATGAAGGTCTCGTAAAGTAAACAACCATAGTGCTCACAATCAAAAGAACTTATAACGAAAGAAAATACTTTTGTTATGGATTTTCAAACATTCCCGTTTATCTCTCGATTGCAACGTTGTGAAAATCAAGATGATGGCTGGATAGACATATTTTTCCCTCTACTTTCAAATATGGGGTTGAAAAATTCTTAACTTTACTCATTTTGATGAATGATATGTCGGTGGTGGACCTTTTAACCCGCGGATCTTTTAGCCCTGCTCTACCCAATACCATTTTCTATAAATCTTAATGTTAAGATAGGATGCAAAAAATATCCTAATATTTTTACATAATTTTTCTATACATTCAACACAATTTAAAAAAAGTCCGTAGCAAAAATATAATTTTTCAAAAAATTTAAAAAACTTAGAAACAGTTTAAAAAAATTCAATCAAATAATATTTTGGAAAAAAAAGAAAATTTATACAAACATTCAATATCCTCAAAATACATGTATATTTATTTATAGTATATACATGTTTGATGCATTAAAACTTTATGGAGAAACATTGTCTAGTAATTTTCCTAAGCTATTTAATAATATTATATGAAAAACATGAAAAAAGTATAACGCTTAATATGAGTTAAGATATAATAAAGGATAAGTGACACATTTTCTAGATTCACGTGTACTCCAGCAAAAAATCTTATTGAAAATCTTAATAAAAAATATTTTATATTGGAAAACATATTTTTATGGATGTAGATGGAGATTGATTGTTAAAAATTTATCAGTTGATGGTGTATTTAGGAAAAAATTATTTATAATTGTTAATTGTTATAATTAGATTCTTTATAAATTGTTACTTCGACTTTTCGACCACTGCTATATATTGCAGAAAATGATAAAGATACGAATTCGGCCTCAGTATATTTGAGAAATTCTTATATATTATCCTTGTATATAATATAAGCAGTTCCTAAAGGAGAATTTATGTCTCTGAAAAACTTACATGCAGGAAATGCATTTTATAAAACAAGAAATTTAAAATCTCAAGTATTATTTGCTATCGAGGGTAACTGTTTTTGTAAAACCAATTATGCTTTTATAAATTGCAAAAATTCATTCTAATATTAAATTTCGACTTACCAACTGTTTTTCGATTCGGACATTTCATGTCTTCAGTAGGTTCACTTCTATCATGAGGACAAACACATCGATAAGTTCCATCGACAAAAGGATAACAAGCAGTTTCCTCACTGCATCCTTGGTCCTTTTTCCTACAATCCATATTGTGCACACCAGGTTCTGGAAAAAATAAATAAATTTTTAGTATATCAAAATTTAAATTTGTCAATTATCGTTGCAATAATTTATGATTAGTTTGACATTTATCGGTGATAATTTTCTAATTTTCTGCAAGTGCAATAAATTTATTTTAACGTACACGGTATAAAATTATCATACAAATTACATTTATATAATGAACACTTCAATCTATATGATAATTATCACATAAATAAATTATCCGTATTAATGCATAATGATGGCATATATATATACCATATATATATGGGTGGTCCTTAAAATGGACATTGTCGAATTACCTTGCTCCCAAGGGCTCAAATCGTTGGAAATGAGTACCTATTCCTACTACAAGTTAAGCAAAAGTCATTGTAGATAAACAAATTGTTGAAAATTAAGTTTGTTAATTAAAAAAAAAATATTTATATCAGCACACATGGAACAAATGAAGTAAATTTAACATAATGGCTTAAAAAATTATTTGGCTTAATCAAATTTGTTTGGAATCTAAATACTTAGAGTTTTATAAAAAATGTGCAAAAAATTTTGTTAAAGTCTTAATCAATATTTTTATATAATTTATTTTAGTCTAATATAATAATTACGTACTATCTAATTGGATTTTTTTGTTATTTATATATACTGAAAATTTTTCAAATGAGTTCCAAAATTACAAAAAAATCTTCAATCATCTCAAGCTTCACTACTATTAATATTAACAAATAATTTTACCCTTATTTATAAATTGTGGTACAATTACCAATCTTTGCTAAATTCTATAAATGAAAGATTCACTTTTTATTTTCTGGTTATATAATATAATAGTTGTCTACGGTGCAGAATCTTCAGAATTCTTGTTCAATAAAATTCTTTTCCAATAGATTATATAAGATGAAGCGTTTCCCAAATCTGTGTCAGATAATAAAATGTTCTGAAAATAAGTCAGTCTAAACTGCGATTGATTGAAATTGACTTATTAGATCCAGGGCTGATTCCTTTTACTGCAAATTGTATTGCTTTTTTTTAAATTGTGATTGATAGCTTAGATTTTACTGTAAATCATATAGCAAATTAATTTGTATAAAAAATAAATTAAATCTAGATCTAACACTTGCATCAAATATTGGTTAAAAAAATTATAATGTTTGTAAGTACATTTTTCGGTATCATCAAAATTTGAAAAACTCATTCTAAATTTGGAAAGCTCATTAAAATTAGAATTACCAAATTAAGTGATCTATATTATAAATCAGACCTTTGTAATATTTTTGGGCCCACACACACTAGAATTGATGTATTAATTTAATTAATTGCTAGAATTCTTCTTAATTAAAAAATGCAACCGTGTATTTTTTTATTTTACATATAATTGTGTATACTTTTTCTCTATTTATGATTGTCAATAGTTCTGGTCACATCTAGAAAGTTGTGATGAAAGTAGTCTTAAATTTTATAATTTGATTATCACTGAAACTAAAAAATAATTACATATCCATTGATTATGAGAGTGTTTTAATCAGATTTAGTTAACACCCCAAAATTTTAATTCTGAAAGCTAGTTTTGGCATTGGGATATAAGCAGCAATTCTTCTTACAAAATTTGAAGTAGAGAGCACAAAAATAATATTATCCTTATAAAATTTGCGAACCATCCAATATTGTGACCAATAAGTACCAATATATAAAAAAAATCTATATTTCATTTCCCAAGCCCTGGTAAAACACACAAGTCTAGTTTTACGACTGGAAGCCGACATAACTCAACCAGGCTGCCAAAGATTTATTTAAAACCCGACTATTTATCATCAGTAAGGAGGCTATGATAAAATCTAAAATCGATTTTAGTGATGTTCCTAAAATACTGCTCTTTCGGAATACTGATCGAATTTTTGTACTGTATTAAGTTTCACTGGTTGAAAAAACCGATATGATGGACAAGAAAAATATTGATCTTATTAAAAAAAAAGCTTGTAATGATGTATCGTATAATTTTTTTTACTTCTAAGGGTCATTAGACCTTGGCATGCGATACTTCCAACTCCTCATATATAATTCTCATAATTTATTACTTAATTTCCTCCCAGCTTCCATATTCATTTGTAGAGATACATTATCATCTTCAACACAATACAACTCTTTATATCTAATGAATAAAATTAATTTAATCGAAACGTGTATTTAATATAATTATGAATGGTTGACCATTCAGTAGAAGACAATCTTTTTCATTATACGATTATCTTTCAGCTGTAAATGTAATTAAGATAAAGATGCTGTGTCTTTTTTAGTTTCTTTGGATATAAGTGATGGTTCACTGTTAAATGTTGTTTACGATGATTTTAGTTCTGATTTATTGCAATTTTTGAGGAGATATGAAATTGATACAGAATAAAATAAAAGGGATAAAGATTTATGATGTATATTATAATTTCATTTTTTTCTAAATACTATACAAATGTATGACGTTGTTTAATATAATTTACTTTTTTTTTAATTTCATGCCTTAGTAGAGTTGTTGCAGGGAAAACGTTCAGGTCAAAATGTATATTAATTTTTATTATAAAAAAAAGTATTTTAATTTTCATTGACTTTCTATAGGGTAAGTTATAGTACCTAATAGTAAACAAACTTTTGCATAAATTTACGTTTTAAGGTTTTCTGAACATTTTAGCATTGAATCAACCGATATGAATTCGTATTAAAAATATTCGGGAAATTTCAAAATTTTCAGAAAAAAAATTTCAAAAAATTCTAAATTTCCAGAAATTTAGTATTCTCAATAAAGGCTTTTTTTCAATATTAAAAGTTTTCAAGTATTTCTCAAATTTTCAAAAATGTTAAAAAAAATCAATTTTTTTTTCTGAGCTTTTAAAAGTTTTAATTTACGGTACGGAAAGTTCCAGCAATTTGCCTTAAGGCACGATGCCATGCGCCACTAGTTCAATTTAAAATTGAGGTAAAAATTTAGTAGATTTTGTGATAAAATACATTTCATTCATTTAAATCCTGTTTTTATTTAATTTTTTATGTAATATCCTTCATTCTGTACTTAATGATAGTAGTAACTTGATCAATAGAATATTAGATTTCTTACCATTTTTGAGAAAAAAGTTGACCTAAGTCTTCCAAAAGTGTATTAACTAATTTTGGTATAAAATCCCTAATAAGGAGTTTACTTATTTTAATAAGATCTGATCTTAAATATCTTTTGTATATATATATTTTTTTTTTGAATTTTGCCATCTTGTTGTGTATAAATATATATATATATATATATATATATATATATATATAATTTTATAATGTTGTTTTACCTTCTAAAACAATATTGAGAAGAATCCAATGTATTATGAAACAATTTCGACATGCAGATATAATAAAAGTAAACATAATCAAAAAAGCAAATATTGAATTTCGGTCCTCACATCATCAATATATCATGCATGTGCACACATAAATTTCAGAAAATAACAAGGCAAATGTTATATCTTCCAACCATATTAATATTAGAACGCAATTTAAAATACCAAACAATGCGTGGTTATTATTTGTGGTTATATCATTAAAGAACATGAGCATATCAAGATTTTTCGTAATTTTTTATAAGACATACAATATAATATTTCAGAACACTTCAGAAATCAGATCCAGCATTTTGTATGCTATATAAATATATGTAGGTGTTTTGTGGCGTAACACTTAAACGCACTGCCTCGTGTGGACGAGGTCGTGAGTTCAAACCTCTGCTCTGGATAACCAGATATAGTGCAGTAGCAATATCATTTTTACTTGAAAATATAAATCTAAAACGTGTTTCCAATTTTAGAAAATAAGCCCATTTAGAAAAATGCTGCGGTAAAAAGGCAATGAGAAATCTCTAACACCAATTTTCCCTTAATCGAGTTGGAGTTCAACTCAGTTCACAAACCTGCCTAGGATAATACTACCCATTATTTTTTCTTTTATAAATATGGAATTATTTATAAATTTTATTTATAAATTTTAAATTATTATATAGAAAATCGATTATTTCGTATTTTGCAGTTCTACTAAGCATGTTTGAAAATCTTTTGCAATCAATATTGATGAATTGTTCATTCATGTCGTAAAGTTTAAAAATAATTCCTAGTATTTTGAATGCAATATATTTTATGATGTACGAATGATTTTGAATCAAACAAATCTTCGAAAATGTTGCGCAAATTTGTTAAATGATGATTGATGCCTTTCATATGGTTTGGAACAGAAATACAATGACTTGTGTACATAACACACACACACACACACATATATATATATATATATATATATATATATATATATATAATTCCCAGATTTCGACCCTGGATCAACATTTGTAAACCCTCTTATTCCTAAAAGATATGACTTTGAATTCGTTTATTTTATTGTTTATTATTCAATTTTATTGATTTGTCTTTTCATTGAACAATGTTTTTCAATTTGTGTTTTTTCTGATAACCTTGAAATTTTACAAAACTTATAGAATATTTTTCTAGAAAGTTTGAGAGAGAACAGAATTAATTACCTGTATAATTGATTATACACTAACATTTTTCACCAAAAACAATTTTATCAATGTGTATTTTTATAATTTTTTTTTCAGGCGAAGAATAAATTTGAAAACAAAAACAAAACAAAAATTGAGCTACAAAATTTGTTCTCCGTCTAAAAATGAATTCATAAAAACACACTTGTTATTGATAACATTGTTTTTTAGTGAAAATGTGAGTGTATAATCAATCATACAGTTAGTTAATTCTATTACTCTTACCCTTTTTTAAAACTTTCTAATTTTCTAACATTTTGAATATTTTGTTATAATCCACTCTTTTATTTTTATTATTTTCATTTTAATTAAATTGTTATATTTTTGTAATATCACCTCTTCGACAATCTGATTCATTTTACATAAAAAACCACAATTTTCTACTTTTCTTAAATATATTGTTGGTTTAAATCTTATCATGATGAAACATGCATGT